CTTTCATTTTGCAGCATTTGCATATGACACGAAATGACGAAAGTGTCCATGAATAGAGAAGAGGATTCTACCTCGAACACGATGAAACGGTGACAGTTGGTGGAGGACGTAACCCTATCCTTCAACGAATTCAATTTCGAAGAGTGCCTTTAACTCACAAGAACAAATGGCATCTTCATGCAGGAGATTCAAGTGTAATCTGTCACCCCTTCTTGAACTCTTTTGTTCAAGTTCCTGTAATGCAGTGCAAAATGCTGCGGTTGTATAACTTGGAAAACGAGAGGGGGGAGGGCTTCAAGGGCCAAGAAGGGAGAAAACCATTGATATCATCAGATAGGCCTATGTGTGAGTTGCGCTCGAATGCGAAGAAACACGAAAGTCATTGTGTGAGCTCTACTGCAGTACATACTGAGTATCATCGTTCCAGAAAATATCGTATGCATGGCGCACTCTTAAAGCATCATTAGATTGAGATCACATTATTTCGTGATTAAATACTGCATAAGAATATATCAACAGGATACGCCAACTACGCCCTGTAAAAAAATTGAGAAGTTAGAAGAGGGAGCTTCCTTGCATACGCCGCGAATGCAACTTCCAGTCAGATTCTTGGAGCATACTTGATTTCATTGTCCTCCGTCAAAAGGCAAATTGCTAAGTTCATTGGTGAATACCTGATCTCGGGTTGGGGAAACGCCTTATTCATCAAAACGTGTTTTTCTGCCATCAGGGTCTCAAAGAGCCTGAATTCCAGAACTACTTGAATGACGCGAATTGTCGAATTGGGTACACCCATTATTAATAAGACGTTGCACGTCTTCTATCTGGATGGCATGAGTCAGAGATAAGCCGAGGGTCTATAGAAATGCTATTATGTCGCCATTATTAATCTAGCAGCTTAATGGAGCTATATCGAAGATGTTTGCACGTAGAAGATGTAATTCCCGAGTACGAAGAGATTTCATGCAAAGCCACTACTAGTATGTCCATCTTACAATTAGTCACTGACAGAGCCGATTGCTATGAGCTCTACGTAATCCGTATGTCAACGACGAAGAAGTTTGGCTGGTGGGGATAGTAAAAGAATAAGGTAGAATTCTTCCCGCTTCGACTCGAATCCCTAGTTTTGGGACGGGCCACAAACTCGTCACTGACTTCCAAACTTCAAAGGACATTACTATGTCTGGTTCATGGTTTATGGCATTTCGACTTGAACAATTCAGTGGTTTTCGGGATATGATTGGGTAAATACTCAAGCTTTACATCATCAGGGATACATTGTCTACCCTTTAAAGGTAAACCTAGAGAGTGAACCAAACTTATTTCTACATTTTGGAGGAGCATAAGTGGGCAACTTTAGGAAAACATTTCCATCCCAGTGGAATAATTATAGCATATTCTCTATTCCGGACACTAGATAAATACGAAGCGTCATAAGCTACAACCTGACGACAACTTGTAACCGATGTGCTAAGAAAATGCTTTTACTGCCTTACCATATAACGTACCATAAGCTCCCTAAAGTTGGGGTCCTAGCTGCAATGTAGAATATTAGAAACGAACGTTAGGTGGCCAAAATAGGGATGATGTATTTCCTCTGAAAAGCTGTGCTCGGAAAGATCACGATCACGGTATGTTGGAAAACAATTCTAAATATGGAAACAAGAAATTGTAGGTTGTAGATATGTACATACAATATTATTCCCTCACGTTCATAGAACATATTTGATTCAAAGCCCAAACCACGAGGAATTCTATCTGAGAACAGGAACCTATGCTGAGTTGAGCTGAAACTCTGTATGGAACGTTTTCCGATGACTGACCGAATATTACGTGATTTCGTCCTTAAAATAGAAAGTTCTGGGTAGCGATTTCCTCCTTAATACACACTTCACAGTCCAGGCATGATGGAATTCCTGCAAAGAATGATCAGACCTTTGAAAACAGTAACGATTGACCTATTAGATGGCCCTGTAATCGGTTTGAAATAGGATTTTTATTGAGTTCTGAATAATATTCAGTTATTTGCGTCTCCTGGTCTTAAAGACTTTTCGAAAACACGATTTAAATTCAAAGGAATCGTCACATTTCGAAATCATAAACACTTATTGTTAGTTGACGTAGACAAAGAAAAGCCAACTGCAAAAAATGGGGTATTCGCAAACACGAAAATATTAATTAACTGGCCTTAAATGTAGGGAGTTTGCAGAGCCTGACTATTCTTTGCACAGTCGGCAAGTCAGCAAAAGTGTCACGAGTGTATTGCTTTCATCCCCATGATTTTTGAGTTAAATATGGCGTCGCTTGTTCGATCTCATGAAGCACATCTCACAGCTTCACTAGATTTTTCGAAAAGCCACTCAGTTACACTTCACAGCCCATAGTCCTATGCTTATTGTCAGTGCTTTCCAAGATATATGAATAGTCAACTAGTTACTTAGACTAATTCTCTCATAACTGAATGATACCTATCCTTGCTGATTAGCAGTCTGTTACTCCCACTCCAGAATGGGTACCCATACTCGTGGACAAATGAATTAATGAGTATTTTTTTCTCCATCTTCAGCTAAGAGAAAAGAGAAAAAGTGATAGACTTTCATACAGAATCACTCCTTGACGATACACTCCTTTCAGATCGTCATGCTTTTCAAGCGACCACTTCCGGACATGTGTGAACATCTTCTCCAGTACCTCTACGCAGCCACGACGACATATACGATCTCGCCATCGAATACGCCATATCTGGGTCTGAGCCAGAGAAGTAGTTGAGGACGCACTTCGCAACCCCTATACCTTCTCCTCTTGGCCACTTCTGAGGAGTGTCATGGTTTTTTTAGATAGAAATTTATAGTGGAATTGGAACTGACGGGATCTCATGCTTTAAGTTGCAAGAGAGGAAAGCACAGTTTGCGAAAAAAGTTTCAGAAATTTTCCACTGGGAGGGATGTATAGCCCATGGAAAGGCACATATGCATTGTCGGGTCAAAGGCGGTCTGTTACCCCTAACAATAAAAAAGAACATACTTAATGGCCTTGTAGAAGGGAACGCTATTTAAAATGGTTATTACGCCCATTACAAATATGTACAGTCGGCGGATAGACGCTAACCGCTAACCGACGTCGATTTGTGGCGACAGAAATCTCGTCCAAACACGACCTTCGCCGCTACTATAACCTCGTCCAAGTCTAGGGAAAGGAATCCGTTGGAAAAGAAATCCCTTCTGTAGGAGGGTGCAAACGTTCTCATTTTCACCCTTAACCAAATGATGATCCCAGTCATCGCGAACTGTGCCTCTGAGCTGGCACGTGTAACATCCCGATAGTTTCAACCTCCTTGTCACTGTTCGGGTACGATACCTTCACGGATGACTTAAAATCTACATAGTTTTCTCTATTATGCCAAGAGATTATAGGCTTTTAAAGTTCATTTATGATCAACCCACATTATTGACTGATCTCGTAAATTCGACTAATCATCACATCATTTGTAACGTCCATCCGTACCTGTACATATGACAAGGTTCTTTGAATACGGGTAAATCTCTGCTCGAGTTCTATTTTGTTTTTTTTACAATCTAATTAATCACGACTAGAACAATTGTTGTCTTGTCTCTTATACAGAGTAATAGATCCCTTGATAATTGCTGCTATTCTCATTCATCAGGCTTTACTCTGTTTTAAATCTGTGGATCTAAAGCAATTTCTGTAAGACTCGTGAAATGGATATTTCATGAATAGCTTAGCAAATTTTGGCAGTATCGATCTCAATTGTGTAAAACTTCGTAATTATTATATTATGTACTATGTTATTCCATGAAAAATTAAAGTTGTTTCGACTCAATCAGTCCACTTCTTAAAATGCACAGACACACTGAATATCCACTTGAAATTGATTGAAATTGAATGATTTGAATTCCCGGTTTGGAGGGTAAAGAAGATCTTACCCAGGATGGGATTTATAAAAATTTCTACTGATTTTGACGATAGTACTGACTCACTTGAATTGGTGGCCCCTGATAAGTTAGGGTGGGTCAGTACCGTGGAAGAAGTAAATGATTTCTGCAAAAACCGACGGATACAGATTGACCCAACTGCCATACATTGTCGCATTATCCTTCTTTTTTTACAAGGAATGATCGGTAGTTCATGGCTAACTGCTTTGAATGTTATAGCTTGAAATATTTATACAGTGGAAGATACACCAAATGTACTGGTACGTCGTTATTACCAACTGTTTAAGCCTCTTTTCGATTGTGAACGCGTGTTATCCAAATAGGATTCTGCACGATTATCCTTTGACTTATCATGCCAATCCCAATCCTATCCCCAACCTGTCAGTCCTTATGACACTGGCCAATACTCATCTAATGCCACTTTGGAGCCATATTAGGACGTTTTCTGTGCTCAAAAGTCACCTGTGAACAGCTCAAGGTGATATATTTTTCTATTTATAGGAGTCCTATTCTTTTCGTTTTGTTCCATATGTAAAAAAAAANNAAAAAAAACATCTGTTACTACTTAAAAAACAGAAGCATACTGCAGTACAGAAGTTGTCTTACCCGCGTAGGCTTATCTTCAGAACCTTCAGAAGCATCGAAAAATTTGAAGAGGCTTCAATCTAGGATATTCACAATTGACCCACATTTCATCTATCGTCCTTTACTTCGGTGAATACATCATTTTCGACATACCGGATACCTTTATCTCGGGCATGGGAACCCAACTTCGCTACCCATGATCGGGATCGAAAATACGAAAGTCTCATTCAGTCTGATAGGCCTCATAACCCTCTGCCCACTTCCGAAATATCGAGTCGGAACGTCAAAAATGAGAGGGTTCGATAAGAGTTATTTTTTTGGATTTGCAAGACAACCCGATCCCATTCGAAACTTCAATTCCGTACCCAGAACCGAACACTTCAACTGATCATTCGAAAGACGTATTTATCGCCATCTTCAGGAACGAGACAATAATTTAGGTTGTAATAGTCAAAGATAATACTATGTCCAACCGTCCAAGTACGTCGTGAGCGGTATTCCCAGAGACCTGAAAACAGAACAGTTTGAAAATATTATCTAGTAATTCCTAGTAACTAGATTCCCAGTAACCAGTAACCAGATTCCCACCATATGCTGCAAATAACTGAATGTGCTTCAAGAATCTTAGCGCTAAAAGTGACCAAAAATAGATAATTGCACTGGAAAACAAGTCTAGCCGTATCAATGTCGTCAGGAGAAATGGGGAGGAGACAACTATGAGAAAAGTCAAAAAGGTTAAGACATGCTGTTCGCTTGTTTTCGAAGAGTGACGATGGCGATCGGAAAATACATAAATAAATATAATAAACGCGATAGGTCTGCTTGTGGGACAAGGCGAAGCATCAAGACTGACTCCGACATCTGCAGGGGACATAGACCTGTGAGAGCTGCAGCCTAAGCGTCAGATGCCACCTGTAAGCACTTCAATCAGCCTTTCTGATTCCGCAATGTACGAAGCAACGCGTATTACAACACGCTCAGTAAAATTCTCCAACTTTCCGTCTTAATTAAACGAGAAGCGCTGGAAATTGGGCACCAAATGAGCCTTCCTTTTCATTCTGATCGCATAAGCTAATATTTAGAAGTATTCCTGAATCTATGACAAGGTGCTTCTCCGTTGCTCTTCTGGATCTGCTCGTTCCCATGCACATAATTACACTTCCCGTAATCGAATTACGCAAACATCATATGAAACAAACAAGAAGATCTGTGCGGATCCTAGGCTTTTGCACAAGTAAATAGACAAGAGATAATCAGTCTAAGCATTACTTTACTGTATTGCATGCACTGCAAATTCTGCATAAAATCCACAAACACGATGAAGTAAACAAATACAGAATGCAGATGGAAATACATCCACTACCCGTAACCACCTATTCATTTCACTTAATTTCGATTCTCCTCAGCAGCCCAGAAAAATTGAATTACAAAGCAGTCACTAGGATCCGAATACCATTACGTTGCATTACATTAAGATTCGCTGAATTTCCGATTCGAAGAGATTCTATACAGAAACTACCTAATCTTCCGACCTTCTTTTAGTTGCAAAACTGACGAACCCTGCTCGAAAGCTGGCTGTCAATTTGGTGTAAATATAATTGAGAGTCACTTTTTTCCAGCGGTGAGCGTTACAGCGCAGAGAAGAGGAGTAGCCCACAACGGTGCTTAGTAAGGTCTCTTGACCGTAAAAAAAGTTTTATTTTTAAACTAAGTCTAAGGAGTGAAGTAACACCAGGGTGGGTGAGTCAATTAAACGTCCAATTTTTACCTGATCCCAGTTCTTGCACTAGAAAAACATCTCACCCACCACAGTGCTCCTCCCTTACCAAAGCTCACGTAGAGACCATATTTTTTTGGCTATGAATATTCCTAAACACAAAGACGTTCAACTACCCCTTCTCTTCTGCGCTGTAGCGCAAAGTGTGGAAAAGAGTGAAGCCCTCCCTTCTACTCAAACTTGACTCAAAACCCGAAACTATGGTTAATTTGCTCGAGCAGAAGTACTAGAAAAAGTAAGTAGGTATCACATAGTAGCGCAGAGACTATCAGAGGATATACAGGGTGTCCCAAAATTATGGGCGCCAATTAGTGGCAATGTATTTAAAGCTTCCCAACTGAGAAAATGGAATGTTCAAGCTAACATTATGAGATAGAACATGCTACAATCAAGCTTCAAAATTCCCAGCCGTTCTTGAGTCTTGCTTTCTAGAACTCTATATTGGGGCTGCGAACCCGGCAGGTCCTCTTCTAATCAGGGACCATACAGAGGAGTCAAGTGAGTAAAGTTCTGGAAAGCAGGATGACCATTCTTCTTTGCCAATGAAGTCGGGCAGGTAGCGTAGGCACCACTACCGGGCGAGCTTGGGCTCCGTGGGCTGGAGTGCCGTCCTCCTGGAAGGACTACGACCTGTGCAGGATGCCGAGCCGATAAATGTTTCCTTACGTCCATCAGTATGGCTTCTGAGTACAGGTCCTTGTCAATTTTCACGATGGAACCGATGAAACCACGAGCGTTTTATCCTTGCCACCGACTCTCTCGAAAAAACATCATTTCGCTGTTTTATAGCACCTTCTTTGTGAGAGATTGCACCTTCAGTGTTTACAGCCATGATGTGATCGTTATATTTCTTGAGGAATAGTTTTTTTTTATAAAAAATTCCCGGCTAGAGGAAACGACGAAGGGTTGAGTGTCTCCACTTGAGTTAGTTAGCAACTTTCTGCATTTTTTGATCCCACGCTGCCTTTTGTCCTCAGAAATGAAGCTTCTCCTTGGCAATCTGCTCCAACGGCAACCCTGATAAGTCCGGATCCCTTGCCTTCCTTCTGATGGGTCAAAAAGGATCACGATCAGCTCGCAAATGTACCATTTTAATTGTACTAGTTTTAGAAACACTNCCTCTCGCAAGCTAATGATTGCGAATAGCGTTGAATGAGCTTCGGCCATCTGAAAGATATTGGAAGTGTTACTTCAGTAACCATGCATTTTTGCGAGAAACCCTTCGTATAAAACTAATTAATAGCGGGTGAAGTGAATTTGATAAACCACTTTTACCTTAGAAGTTTCTGAATTTCAGCACCCATAATTTTGGAACACCCTGTATATCTCGAGCTACACTGAGATATAAAGCAATGTTAGGTAGGATTATTGGTAGTCTATCTGCAAATCTTATTAAAGATGAGCAATCAACATATTCAGGCCAGGTTGCGTATGCATAGTTTGTCGCATTAAAATGGGGATTAGAAAAATATTCTGTTTCGTCGCATTTCAGTCCTCTGAACCAATAAATCTCATGAAAATTAGAAAACAGAGGAAACACAAAAGGCCTGCTTTATAAGTGTTCTTTCAGATCAGCACTTTTTGTGGTACACTCAATACTGCACCAGCTTTTGCCCTTACCTCCACCGAAAAGACATAAAAATATAGTAAAGTTTCCTCATGAAAAATAATTAAGAAGAGAATTTGTAGTCCTGCAACTCACTGTGCAATTTCGCTGATGTTTTCGAATGATTCTAAGCACCGAAATTTTGGTTGATCCAGATTTGCAGCACTTGTCGTTCGAGCCACTGAACCACAACTACATAAAGAAGCAATCTGAAAACTTTCATGGTCAATTCACTCATCTACATCCGAAGACAAGCAGTTAGGATGTTTTGGGTGTGAAGTGAAATTCCGACTACTATTTTTGTCTATATAGCGCTTCTCCGGAAAGAAGTCGGACCACTAAAATACAACCTTTGACATAGTTTATAGCATCCATACAAACTCCACGGAGCAACACAGACATTTATCTTCCTGACATATGCATATGCTGGTCTAATACGGAACCAAAAGCCGGAGTTTTTCAAAATAAGCTACGCCCCCAGTATCCATCCCATGTCATATTGCCCTCAAATCTGAATTCATAGCATACGTACATATATGAAAGTTGCAAACGGGTCCAACACAGTGGAAGAATCAGTCCAAAAGGGATTTCGCCAGTACACCATCCGTGAGAAGACCGCTCTACTTCTGCCGCATCACTACGGTAACAAAGTTCGGTATTTTGTCTTAGAACACCTAGGAGTAGAAGTGACTTTTTGGGATCTCGGCGATCTGAGTTCATGCTGATCCTGCTACGTTTTGGCACTGATCCATTGGCGACTTCATTGAGTTCCCGTCATAAAGGGTCCCAGCACCGAAGAGGTATTGTAAATCACGTATTCGGCTCTGCAGATGCAGCATTTCTGCAGCTGTTCCTAGACTTGACTGGATAGCCGCATTTTCATGTATCCCGAGCTCAGAAGTAATTCCGTCGCTAAGCCGGGAGCATATTCGAGGTTGCACAAGCAATTCTTCAATGAATCATACTTCTTTCAAAGGAACCAGATGAAAGAGACACTAAGGGAAGGACAACACGAAACGGTCCGATTTGATGGGAGAGAAATTTTTCCATATTTATGCCCCTCAGTAGTATTCTCCTCCTAACTTCGCAAATAAAACGAAAGAATTATAAGAACTTTGAGAAGTTTTCGTACACCAGAAACCATGAGTGGAAGAAAATATCAACACCTTTAGGTACCACACTCTCACGAATCCATACTCTTACGAAAATCATATTCGGTGAGACTTAAGATTTTTAGCTCGACAACTAACCTGTGGATTTACGTCTACGTTCATATCAATGCCTTTTGCTGGGTATAAGCTACACAGCGCCAAATAAATGCACTTGATGCGCTGCAAATCAGCTGATTTTGCTTCTCCGTCACGTTGTTCCGCTGACTGTTCAGCTCTTCGTTCGCGAGCTTCCGATCGTTTCTCCTTACCATGGAACTTAAAAACTTAGTATTCGATTGTTTGAATTCAAAATCTCAGTGGAATATTCGAATGTGTTTTGAAGTAGTTAGCCGTTAAAAATTCAATAGCCAAGCAAAACACTACAAATATAAAAGTAAAACAAAATTATTCTGTCTATATCTATATTCTACCTATATGTATATGCTATGAAGATTTTTCAGTGATGGTCTAACGTCCTTTAACCCATTGACGACCATGCAGTCCACAAGAGGACTGCAGTTATTTTTTTTTTGTTTAATTCATCTAGATTTCCATTTTTTTACAAATTTTCTTCTCAAAACATTACATCAGGCTTAAATGAAACTACACACAGCGTGGTCTTAGAAAACCTTCTAATTTTAGAATTGTAAAGGTGTTTTTTCGAAGGAGTACATTACCTTGATGAATTCTTCGTTCGTTGAACAACTTCAAAAAATGAGATATTTCTGAAAGACTGTCGTCATTAGCATTTCGCTGTTATCGACCAAACGCAAGGCTCCCAACGCAACGCAAATAAAAGTTCCCCGAAACGATTTCTTTTAATGATTGAACTCGTAATCGAATGACCACTAAAACGAGTGCATTTTCACTAATTTCATAATCAATGTTCAATAATCACTCAATGTGGGCATTCTCACTAAACCCATATGAAGGAGCATTCCTAAAAACTTATAATCTTCTCTTATAAACTTCAAAAAACGGTCATGCTGGACCATGAAGCCCACATGCGGGCTGTAGTCGCGGGTGGACGAAAAGTGCGCCGGTCCCTCGCGGCGCTTTCCCGCAAAACGCCGTGGTCGTCAATGGGTTAAAACTACTCACATCAGAGCTAAAGAATTATCAGTACCTCCATTTTTTGGTATTATTTATTAATTTTCATTATTACTTCTTTATCGAAATTGATGATTTTAATCTACTTGGATTATTCCTGAGGGTTATTCCAAGGGCTAAGTTTTGTCCTACCCTTTATAAGACGACATAATAACACATCAACAATTCAGCCCGATTGACTTGGCTTTTAAAAGACGTTAAAGAGTGATGTGTAGTTCTCCATAAACTCAATAGGATTGGAAACAGCAAAAAAGATGGAAACTAATATGAAAAAGGGTTGTCGATGTCAAATAAAACTGGAAAAATTACGTAGCTAACTTAAGCTCTCGGTCTGATCGTTCTGATGACGTGCTCCGCTCATAAATCACTTAGCTTTATACTCTATGGCCAGTGTCGAAAGAAAGAGGAGAGCCAGTAAGCATGCGTCATCCGCTGATTCACCTCTCTAAGCCTCTAGCTGAGCTGATGAATCCCGGAAGCCGAATAAATGCCGACAAGTGATTAGACATTTATCCTCTTATGACGCTCAATATTAACTGTAAGTATTTTTTTTTTCATGATTGCAGTTGCTAATCACAAGCCACATCATAGGGCCTTTGTAATACAGTTGAATTTCATATGATTATTTATCAATTTCTAGTTTGAGAGGTAGATTTGGAATAATACTACTTGCCACGATAAATATCAGACAATAAGCCCGTCTATACCGTCTGGGGGTAACCCTCACCTTTGCAAAGTATCGTTTATCAGTGGATGACGGATTGTGGCTGGCACAAAATGATGCCACAAGAAGATATCTGAAATAAATTTTTTCCAACTTCAAAAAAAAAANAAAAAAAAAGCACTGTCGTGAGCGTTGTATCAAAAACCTTATTTCTGAACAGAATAACCTGCCGACCTAGTGCTCAAAGGTAGGTCCACAAGTTGTTCCGGTTCGTTCTCATCTTTCCAGTAGCAATCGGTCTCATCCTGAAACCAACAACAATCGGATGCACACCTCAAATATGTTTTAAAATTTGTAGTGAATCAATTCTTCCAGTTCCGTTCAATGACATGACAACGAAAGTGAAAAAAAAGACAGATGGGACACTAACCAGAGCTTCCAAAACGGGTAACAACTTCAAATTTTTTATATCGTTTACATCACCATGCTTCTCAGAGTACTTCTCACAGGCGAGGCGAACCTCGAACAATTGATTGGAAATGATTAATTAAAAGCAATGAAAAGTCAAGGTAAAAACGTACTATCTGCATAATTCGCTGAACATCACGGCACTCAAAAAATACCGCTTTCACCACGTAGTCGACAATTTTCCTACTGTAATCCTCCTTGAAGGCTTCAGCAATCTCATCTATGCATTCCTCTAAAAAGGTTATCGCTGTCAGAAGTAAGTTTATATCTGAGATCTGGGGAAAGACCTTATACGAAGGAAAGAGCCCGAATAAACCATCCCTTAGTTCATATTACTAGCTAGTTGTCTTGGGAACGAATGCCATAGCTCGAGCTTTGCGGCTTTTATGAACCCAGCTGTCACGGCGTGATATAAAACATTGAGAAGTACAAGGAAATCTAGCGTACCTTCAGAGCGGTTTTCAAGCCCGACAGAAACCGGTTGCGGTATAACATTTAGCAATCCTATACGATCCCAAGGCAATTCACTATGCGTCACAAAACGAATCAATGGGTCATTCCGAAGATTTGGACAAATGATGCCTATCTGAAGGAAAAGTAAAAGACGATTTCAGAAAAAGAATATTAATCAATCAACTTTGATAAAAAACACACCGACTTCGGAATTGACAGTAGAGTCTTAACTGTGGAAACTGGAAACAGCGACAGGAAACGAGCTTGATCAAGAACAATAGTCAACTTGACTCGATTCTTTCTAGAAAAAAACAAAACACCAAAATGAAAAGCCTCCATGGTCAAGAAAGGATAATTTGAGAAAGTGACCCTACGCTGAAAAGAGATGTTCGCCCAAGAAAACGGCCAGGGCGTTGATAGTGTTCACCTTGCCGTCATGTTGCAATTTCAGTTCTCGTAAAAGTTCGTCAATCAACCGTTTGATAGAGCCATCAACGAGAAAACAATTGATAATCACATAGAATGAATGCTGAAACAATTCTTGTATCGAAAAGGATGAAGAACATCAGAGAATTCATGGCATGCATCGTCAGGNGAAGTCTCAAGATTCGATCCCCTATCATGCATGTGATACCGCGCCACTTGGCACTGCGCCATCTCCAGCTAAATGTTATTTGACCTGCCGGTCCACTTTCGAGCTTGAACAACATTTCTGTACTACTTCATTCTCTCCCAATTTTGGACTACCCCCTACCTAGTATAACCTGTTTTTATTCCTTGAATCTGCGACCCTTCAGTTCCAGAGAGCTGAGCATGTTCGTATACATCATCTACCGACCAACCAAGCTATGGAAGTAGTGTCTCACACCATTTCCTCCTCCATTTGTGCCTTTTTATCTCAGCCCCTCTATCTCACCCAGTGCCGTGAAAAAATTAACGACCATACAAGAGAAATAAGAGAAGCAATGCATCTTCATTAGTTTTTTTGCTCCAGAACAAGAAAAGCGTTGGAGTAGCGGTAATTGACCCTGTTAGGGCACACCGAACCGAAGGATCACGGCAAAAATTACGTTCAGCTGCATTTGATTCCCTTGCGAAGTCAAAATTGCTCACCTACCCCCTCCCATCTCCAGCTGTTTCTCCTACCATTACACAGGGTCATAACGCATGCACGTTCTACTACGAGTATAGGACAAGAGTCAAGTACATGGCTTATCCCTTGGTTAATTGGAATAAGCATAAGCAACATCTATAATACCTTGTCTTTCTTTTGCAATAGTTCAAGCTCTTCTCGTATATCGTCAAGTACGTCGGCTTCTTCGATACCGTAACAGTGGATATGGGTGATGGATGTCCATTGAGAAAGTAATGCATGTAGCTTATGTACAGAATCGGAACGCATCAAAAGGATGTGTTTGACAAAAATAGATCCCTAAATAATTAATTCGTCCGGCTAATATTTCGGAAGGAACAAAACACAACAGCTCGTATTATCCTAGGTAGAAATTCCATAATTAAGATCTTCGGCAGGCTCCCCTAGCACTGAATTTCGATCAAGAATAGAAAAAAGTAATATTTCGAATTTAAAATTCAAAAACTCTAAGAAGAACGATTGAAATAAAAAACAGCTATAGTAACTTCGGACCGTTTTTAAACTTTCCCGCGCAAATGGTTATTTAAACATGCCGTTCTTACGAGCTTTTACACAGTGAACTTACGACGTGATTTTGCGTATTGTTTTATCAGTCGGAAAGCTGCCCTCAAAGTTTATTATCGACTCCTCCACAAAATGCTTCAGCGGACACGGCCACTAGTTCAATCCATTCGTGCATATTCAGCATCTTCATCAGAACCCAAAACAAAGTTGAAGGATGGGCCATCGTTTGCAGATTTCGTTAGCTCAGGTTATTTTTTAGTTTTGTTTTCTTTGACTTTATTCTTTTTGTGTTTGATAGTTTTGATAAGGACTTTGACATGTTGTATGAGTTATTGTGCGGAAGCGATCAGACTGTAGTACTTTAGGCAGCGTCGATGAAGCAGTAGCCAAATACAAAGGAAAACTAAAACTCGAGAAAGGAGACCGTCGCTTAAGGTTACCAGAATGGCTGAAGAAAGAAAAAGTAAGCATTCAAGTTGATTCAAGCACCTGCTCAGTATTTATTATCACACTTAGGTCCTTCCAAGCGAAAACGAAAATGTATCACGATTAAAGAAACAACTGAAGGGGCTGAAGCTTGCCACAGTTTGTGAAGAAGCCAGGTTTGTTGAAACTTCGCCGACTTCTTCAAAAAATATGCTGCACCTATTTCAGGTGTCCGAACTTGGGGGAATGCTGGGGAGGGTCGGAGGATTCCATCGCGACAGCAACGATTCTTTTGATGGGTGATACATGTACTCGAGGTTGTAGGTATGTTTTTATAGTTCCCATATTCATTATACTTTTTCATGCATTGCGCAAACAAGGTGGATCCCAACAATAATGACAATTATTACAATTGCATGGTACCTAGACATTTGAGCTCACAATTAAGCGCAGTACCTGAAAATTCCTGAGAACTTCCTCACTCTGAGTGTTATGGCTGAAATGCTGAGATTAGTTTATCGTTGTTACCTATCCCGGTTATCATTTCAGGTTCTGTTCAGTAAAAACAGCTAGGAAGCCACCGCCATTAGATCCGATGGAGCCAGAAAATACAGCACTCGCGGTGAAGTCTTGGGACGTGGACTACATTGTTGTCACATCAGTTGATCGGTAGGGATTCACAGGATATCTAAATTGATTCGTGCATTGTATCATTAAATGCTTCAGAGACGACGTAGAAGACGGAGGTGCCAGTCATCTCTGCAAAACCATTCAGCTCATGAAGAAGGAGAGACCTGAACTGTTGATCGAGTGTCTATTGCCAGATTTTGCTGGTCGTACTGAGAGCGTCGACATGTTGGCTCTGTAAGTTAATCTGATTTCTCTTCCCTCTTTTCTCTCTTATTTCTCGTCATTTACATGCCTTTTGTTTGATTTTGAAATCTTTATCGATAGAAAACGCCATTTTATATTTTATTCCTGTATCTTGTTGTCATTACTGTTCTTTTATTTTATTTTATTTTATGCAGAAGTGGTCTCGACGTATATGCTCACAATGTGGAGACCGTTGAGCGCTTGACGCCATGGGTTAGGGACCCGAGNACATGCTGGCTCTGTAAGTTAATCTGATTCGTCTTCCTTTTTTCTCTTTTTTCCCGTTGTTTACATGCCTCTTGTTTGATTATGAAATCTTTAACGATGAAAACACAATTTTATATTTTTCTCACTATCCTTTTAGCATTACTGTGCTTTTAGTTTATTTTATGCAGAAGTGGTCTCGACGTATATGCTCACAATGTGGAGACCGTTGAGCGCTTGACGCCATGGGTTAGGGACCCGAGAGCGAAGTACGATCAATCTCTAGCAGGTAGTTTACCCTTAAATCTGAATTATTCCTCTTTTTTTTACTGAATTCATCTTCATTGTTTCCTATTTCATTCTTGCAAGTTACTGTTCGTGATGCAGAGATGCACTGCTTCTCCACCTGACCATAGTACTCTGATAACTTCGACAGCCAAGCTTAAGGGAACAGTTGTTTTTTCAGTTCTGAAACGTGCAAAAAGCACCAACCCCAAACTTATTACGAAGACATCAATAATGCTCGGACTCGGCGAAAAAGACGATGAGGTATCTCTTTTAGGTGGAATTTTTTTTTCTATCCTTCACTGTTCGAAGATATCAACGCAGTCATTAAGGTACGGCAGTGTTTGACAGATTTAAGAAACCATGACGTAGATGTAGTCACGTTCGGTCAATATATGCAGCCAACAAAGCGACATTTATTGGTGAAAGAGTGGATAACACCTCAGAAGTAAGGCTACAAGTATCCTTTGCTACTTCTGGACATTTACATTTCTGTCGTTTAGATTTGATGAATGGGGACGGATTGCTCGTGAAATGGGATTTCTGTATGTGGCATCCGGTCCATTAGTTCGGTCTTCATATAGAGCGGGTGAATACTACTTGAAGAATGTACTTCGAAAGAGAGGAGGTGAACATCGAGCTCTCAAAGAAGAGGCTGCATAAACTGTTCAGTATACGTTTTACCGTTGATGTGAATGTCAGTCTTGAGTCTAGCTTTCGTCAACTTTCAGGTTTGCCTGTATAGCTATGTGATAGTTCGATTCTAGTCATGATTGTTGCTTCGCACTTGATAAAATTTTTATTTTGGAAACAAAAAGTATCACGTATACGCGAGTAGTTTTTCTTTGGACATGAACACTATGCCAAAAACAAAAACAGAATGTCAACAACTTAACCTATTCAATCGCCACAAACCAAGCAATTGAATAAGGTCTAATTAACAGTGATCAGAAGATAAATAAATTACCAAAAAGTACATCTCCCAAACTGTTCCTAAACAATTAACAACTTCGAAAGGTCGCTTTCAGCAATAAAGATTTTTAGCGTTCAACAGAGAAAGGCTCAGCGACTGGTCAAGCGGCAATACTTACGCATCATGTTGTCACTGACGCTCTTTCCAAGTACTTCAATCTTCCTACGAAACTCCGAAAAGGACGTCATGCCGAGTGGAAATCCCCACAGAAATTCTTGTTTCCAATACTGGTTTTTAGTACTCTACCTCCATGACGTCCCTTCACTTCAGTTTACAATTCATTCATCCCCATGGAAGGCGGTTCCAAAAATATTTGCTTAATTGTTTTTCCAAGCCTACACCTCACTAAAGAAACAATATATACAAGCTAATTATAAAATCTCTCTAGAAAACAAATTTGCCGAAACAACTTGCTGAAGCAGCATATGCGCCCTGAATGCAGCTACACACAGATGACCAGTGTATTCACCGCAAACGAAGTTCACCTCCTGAAATTTCAAAAGCATTTTTATGAGCACCACCCTCAAAACACGAACAGGCACTTACAAAGCTTCTCTTATTTCGTCTTCAGCCAGAGCACTCATCAGTTTTCGACATTTTATCGATAGCTGGAGGTTTTCTGACACCAACTTCTTAACTTGAACATTCCGTTGCAAAAGTAGGGCCTCCAGCTGTTTCACTCTGCACATTATTATAAAAAACAATTTCAATCATAACTCCTCAGAGAAAGAATACACAAAGAAGACCTTCCAGTGCCCCTCAACTAATGCCTAATACGCACATCAGAGAATGATCTTAACATTGCCTACCTATGTACGCTTGCTTGTAGCTGCTCTTTGAGATAATTATTTTCTCCTTTCAGCTCCCGATAATTGTTTCCGCCAACGACCTCACGGCCTTCCGTCGTTAAAAATGGTGAGGATTGGCCTCTGATAATAACTATTCTACTAAGTATTACTTTAAAATCTAGTAAGAAACGGTTAACAATGACCACAAGTGCAGTGCATAAAATGAAAAGCTCACCCTGCGCCGCTGTCGTATTCCTCAGTCACCTCCACTTCTTCATAGGTATCCACATCGATTGTGGGCTCTATAAGCATCTCTGATCGCCTAAATCAGTTTTCAAGCAATGATCGTCATTATTAACAGTAAAGGAAAAGAATAACTATAAATAAAGATTAGTAACATCAAAACAAAAACAACCAAACAAAAACTTCAGGAAAAACACCTCCGAATAAGGAAGGAAAGAAAACCACGCCTCAACAAAGAAAAATATGGATGCTCTCTATGTTTTAGGAGTTTGTTAAAGAGTATGCAAAGCTCAAACAAAGAAGTGCTGGATATTCTTATAATTCTTTGGAACTAGACGTCATTCTGCGGCCACCCATTTGCCCATACCCTTTTGAACTTCTCACCGGGTAGGAGTTCAGCAAGGCAAAACCACGTAGCGGCGAGGAATAGAAATAGCAGGAAAAGCCTTTAAGATCAAAATACATTTTGATTAAGTTCAAGGCGAGGCATGTGCCATTTCTTGAATATTACTCACTCTTCACTGTGGCTCTCAGTACCGTTGTCATTAGCATTTTCTTCCTTCGACGGTCCGTCTAGCTCTGCAAGCGATGGTTCTGTAAAGAACTTCATATATTCACCGAATGCATTGAATCGAAGTTGAATGTTCAATGCAAACCCATGGAAAAAGGTCTAATTATTGAAATATGGTTAACCATGACAAAAATATTAAAGTAACAAGGAGAGAAGCAGTAACAATGAACCTTCTTGGTCTTGATATTTCATCCCAAGTTGTTTCACATTATGGGCTAACTTTTTCCGCGTAGACTCCTCCAAAGATTGCGCATCACGAAAATAAATTCTGAACAGAAGATTTTCATACAAATTCAGAAGGATAGAATAAAGAAGCATGAATACCTCTTTCTTGGATTAGGCTTCCCAGCCATCGCTGAAAGCTTCACGACTGCGATGTCTGCAGCAAGAGGAGATCTGGCAAAAAAATTGTTCTCGTTGCAGCAAGAATGTTGAGATCCTCTGGTAGAGTTCACGAACAAATCGAAAGCATACTGTGTTCTATCTGACTCAGTAGACGTTCCTTGCCTTTGTTCCTCACTTGTTGATGACTTCAGCAGCCGATCGACAGCTAGAGCAGCGGGCGAAAAGATTTCTGAAAGCTTCGAACTTATAGGCCTTAGAACAGACATTCTGCGTGAAAGACCCCACCCATAGTTTGCTGAAACCTATGAACAACAGAACGAAGATTTTGTAATGATCTAAATCTCATACTTGGAGCGGCGAGTTTATAACGTCCTGGTCCGACCCTGACTGCATTCGCCATATGCAACTCATGGAGTGACGGTTGTGAGGAATTCGTCCAAGGCTAAAGTAATTATTAGTAGACTTTGCAAAAGAATAAGAGCTTTCAATAAAAAAAGTACAATAACAAAGCACAGTCATTCATAGTCGTGCTGGGAACAATTAGAAGCAGATATCAAAGGGCCTTCCTTCTGAAAGTCCTCAGGAATTTCAATCTATCTTCACACTTGGGTAGTGCACGCATTCGTAGTAGGTGCGCTTCTATGAAACTAGTGCGATTCTGTGCAGACTTAGTATTTTTACCCATATAGGGCGCATTCATAGTAGGTGCGTTTTGACGTATGTGTCTGCGTGAAAACGCTTCCGTTTTGCATGTGCGCAGTAACATCAAGAGGGATTGAAAAGTGACCTCAAAACTAGAACTGATTCTTAGGTTCCTCTCTGAAATTCATCTGCGGCACTATTTCAGTTACCCTACAACAAACGAATCTGCCTTAGCTACATAAAATTTCATGAATAAAACAAATTGAAATAACGTCTTTCTGAAACCTACCTGGCTGTCGCACAACGTACTAATTAAGAGCATAATTTAACAAAACTCACTGAAAGTGGTGATCCTTTTAATGAGACATGGTCATCTGCATACATTGGATACCGCTTTGACCTCGACATTGTGCACTAGTAAAGGTCAACCCACAAGTGTTACGGGCAGTGTTAGATCGGGACTGCAGATTCCGATCGGAGCGCACTTACCGCCGAGCCACCTTGCCTACCTCGAATTGCACTATGTACTGTACTTCTTGAAAAATGGTTTTTGACTCGGTATTATCCTGGGAATACAGAACACTGCAATCTATAAGCACATGGAAATAGAATGATAGAGTTCAAGTGAGCTCTTTGAGCTACTAACGGCTCTACGATAACTCAATGCCAGTGTAGATTCACTTCCTAAGCCCTAAGAAAAGCCAGGTCTACCGGCTCAAGGGAGCGATCATGTCTATGTGTCATACTTCCATAGCTCTTCATGTACTAGATAACTAGTTTCCTCTGCCGGTTAGGTAATAACAAGTTCTTTCTTTTGCAAGAAATACAGTTTTCGCCACTCCAAACATAACACTATAAAGATCGCATCTCGATTCTATCGCAGATTTGTCCACGGAGATTGGCGTTTCAAATTTGAAAAAACCCCAAAAAGTCTGGCGTCTGGCGTCGTTTGTCTGGCGAAATTCTCAGTTCCCTATGTGTATCTGGGGGGCGGGTGAGGGACAGAAACGAAAATTCAGTCGGGCACTTGGCCCTTACAGTAATCCGGCACGGTGTAACCCCATTTTTATACACAAGTTCTTACCCGTCATATATATGACACGTCGAAAAGGGGCCTTTTGCAAGGAGCCGGGGTGGGTCGTGGAAAAGCTAGAGGGTTACTGTAAGAGCTGAGTGCTTCACTGAATTTTCGTCTTCGTGGGGGAGGGTAGTAGGGAGGTATCACATGACAGTTGATGTTGCCCCATTGAAGGAAGGCCATCTGAAGAAAGGACCTACCAGATGAGAGAGCAAGGTACACCGGTGGGCTCTCTTCGTCCATTTTCGTTAGACAGCACCTTCAGGACATCGAGGATACAAATTTATCCCTTTACCGTGATTTCCTGATCTCAATCGCAAACTGTCGTGGTGATCCTAGAATGCCTGAGCCATGCCTTTGCCACTCGCAACATTAGCCAATTTCCGCCATTCTACTCCTTTCCCTTTCAGGTAATCATGTCACATTCCATCGCAATGAAGTCACTCTAAATGCGGTAATTTCGGTGGAGTACCGGTAAATCGATCATCGGGAAACGAGAGAAATGTTGGGAAATTACCCCTGGTGGCTAGACGGCTACATAGTATCAGTGGTCATCGTAGTTTCATAAAGGCATAGAACCGAAAATGCTGCAAAAACTTCGATTTAGCGATTCAGTGTTACTACGGCCATCCTTTGTCACCTCGAGTAATCGAAGGTCGACCGGATGGACATAACCTGTTGCGCTTACTGGCCTTCTATGGTGATCTGTTAAGGAGTTCCATGCCTATATAAGGGCTGCATATGGTGCATTCTGTGGGAGTACTCTTTTCAGCAATGTTTTTCCGGGCATTGCTGCTATTCGCTCTAGTGCCATTCGGCTCGGCATTCTTATGGGATCTTCTGGGCCAACTGGGACTAGGAGGTGGTGGTATGGGCGGTGGCATGGGAGGCGGTATGGGTGGTGGTTATCCTGCTCCAGCTCCGGCTGCTTGCTGTGCTCCACCTCCTCCCCCACCTCCTCCTCCTCCACCACCTCCACCTCCTCCACCACCCCCTCCACCACCTCCATGTGCAGGACCACCTCAGCAACCATCTTATCCACCTCAAATGATGCAAAAGCCAATGCCTCCTCCTATGCAAAACTACCCTCCTCCACAACCCATGTCTTATGCCAAACCCATGCCTCAACCGAACTATCCTCCTCCACAACCCATGTCTTATGCCAAACCCATGCCTCAACCAAACTATCCTCCTCCACAGCCCATGACTTATTCTAAGCCCATGCCAATGTCAGGAGGTTACGCGAAACCTCCACCTCCTCCTCCACCACCATCTGGTGGATACGTTACCGGTGTTGGTTATAGGCGACGGTATCAAAGAAGACACAGAACTAAGAGGTTGGTTACTTTTCTCTGTATGAAGTTAGGCTCTATAAGTGTTATATGAACTGCTTGCATAGATCCGGTCAGCTCTTCGGAGTCAGCAGCGACATTGAGTGCAACAATACAATGTTGAAGAAGATCATGAAGAAGGTAAGCGCTATTCCGACGCCATGGAGAAGGTCATAGGGTAGCGTAACGATTTCAGGCAATAACGGAAGACGAGGCTGAATCGCGTACGAGGATAAGCGCTCTTCTTCGAGGGGAGGATGGTCAGATGGCCGTTTTCTGCACATCAAGTCCTTTCAAGTTCACGATATCGGACAATGCCGAATTCTGTTCTGTGAAGAACGACAAACTGACGTGCTATGCTTTCTCATTCTAGGACTAGAGTTGTTAGTAGCTGTACGATCTCCTCGAAGAAATGAACTTTGAAATTCTGAGTCATTCTGATTTTGGACTAAAGGTTAATAAGTAAACTCGAATGAAAACTGTCACCAGGGAAAAGAAAAGAAGTATTTTTGAACTATTTGGCCTTTAACTGGCTCTGAATGTTCCCAATTTGGACGGAATTTGCGGAAAAAGAAAGATTCGTCTGGGCAGGACGCCAAACGACAAATTCAGCCTCCCTACTCAATATTTCTTTGACCCTTTTGAGTTTCCAAATGAGGAAAGAGTAGACAGGAGAGCGGTTGGGGGACTGCAGGAGGGAGCATTGAGAGTGGGAGCGTAAGGAGTTGCAGAAGGTGCACTTTTTGGTGGTAGGAATGCCACTCATATCTTCAGCTTATCCTTTATCTATGAAGAGAAAAGAGTTCTATATAAAGGGATTAAGACCACTCGAGAAGGTAGATAGACAGGCACCGCCAGTAGAACTTAATGTAGACGAACAGTTGACAGAAGGGAAGGGACAGCTGAGGTGCTTCAGGTGATGCGTCAGCTTTCTGCTGTGCCAAGCTATGCGGTGGCGCTTTTTGCTGAACGAACTTTTCCACATAAACAACAACAAGTGCTTGATGTTGTATAAAGGCGCTCATTGCCTAGTCAGGTTTTCTCCTTTCCACCTTTGCCACCATGACGGCACACATTCTGGTCTTGGTACGTTCCCATAGCACTCAGATTATTTCCGATAGTTTTATGATTGAACAAATCCGGAATTTGGATAAAAAATGGAAATAAAGTGAACAGTGATCTGGGTCTAATATTTTATTCTGGGAAATGGCAGGCAAATTCGTTAACAGTACGTTTTTTAAACGGGGTGGCAGTTGTTTAGAAAGAATCAGTAGGTAGTTGATAGCATTGGTGGGACCAATACAATCACGAACTTTGAATTGCAATTAGAAAGCACTCTTGTTTTGTTTCATCCATGTGTTAGACTTTTTGTTGAATATATGCTTAGCCCATGGTACTTGCAGGGGTTTACATGAAGAAAGGAAGATTCCTTCAAGAAAATTATGGTGCTTATTCTTTGAACTTCCAGTTAAGGAGAGATGCCCATGCCTCCCTAGTGACTTTGTAGAGGTTCGATAATATTCCCCTTCTTGCGATGTAGGTTGTAAGCAAGCCTAAAAATCATATCTTTATGAAATTGGAACTGGAAAAAAGCTCTAATGATAGAATCGTAACCGAAAAAGCTCTAAAACAGACTTCCTATAAAGCAAGCTTCTATGCTCTAGGTATTTCCATCTAGATTATTGAACGATTCGGGATTTCCATGCATATTTACAAGCAAATATTCGTTAGTAAGCACTAGAAACATTATTGATTTCAAGTTTCGTATTCAGCCATCAGTGTACAGAAGCCCGTGTTATTCAATCAGTCAGTAGAAAAAACTGGCTCATCAATGAATGTTTTTGTGTATCAGTGTCACACATCGAACTTGCCACAAGTCAGAACCTCTGCACACCTTCTTGAAATGTCCATTCCATATAGGGATGAAAGGAGAAAAACGACCATAAACTTGATAATTATCATTACAAAGCTTCAGAGGATACGAAAAATTGCGCTATTTTTTTTATTTTTCGTTCGTTGACTCCTTAAGGGATGTATAGCCTTGGAGGAGCATTTCTTTTCCGACTTGGTTCAGCACCTTTTATTCTTTGATTTTCTCAATTTTCCTGCCTTCCGGAAAGCGTCTATTATTTTTAAAGCTGCGTTTTTCTGGCTGTCTTTAAAATAATTATTACTTTCTCTGATTTCATCAAATTGGATAGAAAGGCTCTTACTAGGTTTTAATGTCAATTTTCTATTTATAAATAGTAAAAGTATGGGTTACTTATTTGGCATGGAAGCCTTAATGCCGAATACTGGGCCGACTGGGAAAACTAAGCGACAGTCACAGTAGTTCTTTCGACTGCATGGAGTGCCAAATGTTTCCTGTGTGGTTGTCTATGTCAAAGTTTCGACAGATCCCTTCTGTTCCTGCTGCCCAAATCCCTTCGTTCGAGCTGGATAAACCTATCGAGGAAAAAAAAGAGTGTCCCTTGATGCTTTGATATTTTAAGATTGCTGCCTTATCCTGTCTCCCACTCATCACAACAATCCTGTTCGACCTACTCGGGCCACATCCAACTTGTATATGTGCTCCACCGCCTTGTTCAGCAGCCGCTTCAGCGTCTTCGCAAAGTATATCCAGTGCCGGTGGTGTGGCACAGCCTTATGGTCCTGTATATGCCGGACACCCGTATGGCGGTTACCCATACAGGACGGTGAGGTCCAAGCGGTGAGTTGGGTACTATTTATCATAATGACTGTAGCATTTTTATCTTCACATCTGTTGCGTATGAAGAAAATTTCTCAGAGGGTCATTCTCCGAAGAAAACATCCTTCTTCCTCTATCCAGGGCAGCTAGAATGAGTAAGGAAGACCACCGCGAAAGAGACACCTGAACTTTTTCCGGATAATAGAAATATTTATAATTGTAGACAAGTAAAACCAGATCGGATGATTCTTTATTTTTCTTACGTCTCCGTTTCACTTTTATTCAATGGGAAATGAGATTGTTCTGAAGTTTCTGTTCAGATCAGAAGCCCCTGAAAAAAAGTTGAAAGCCCTTTTATTCCTTTAAATGGTCAAACTCATATTGCATAATATTCAGAGCAGCCGAAGATCAGAGCCTTGTCATGAACGAATCCTGCAGCAGTGAAAACATTGGAGCAGTCATCGATCAGGTAGGACTAGCTACCCTGTTGTTATTTATTTTGCAAAAATAGCCGATTCATCCCGTCACTACGGTAAACATTTATTGTTGTTCTAGAACTGAAAGCCAAGAAAACTCGGAATTCAGAGTATGACATCATATCCGGATGAATCCAGAGAGCTCATACTTCGGTCATTGTTGAATCACTATGGCAGGGACGTACTGGTGGTCTGTACACCGCATGAGCTCGACTTCTCTTTCACTTCTGGAGCAGAATTCTGTTCACGGACGGGAGATAACATAACCTGCCATGCATTTGTTTTCTGAAGGCCAATAAAGTATCGGAATCGTTGGTGAATAAATAAATGTAGAAAACTCCCACAATGAACATAGGTGTAGTGGAGTAGAACTGGTGGTCGTCCACAAACTTCAAATGAAGCTTTTCACACGACGTTACAACGATGACCAGGAAAGCAGGTTCCATGAAGCCATGAATCATCCCTCAGCTGGGCCGAACACTCGTAAGCCTCCTGTGAATGATTACCCTACTGTATGGTTGTGCACCCTCTTCATTGAAAACCGTAATCGAAAGTCATTTAGTCATTTGGTGGTAG